CCATGAGCTGGTTAAGGTCAGGCCTAAGTTTCATCAGAATCTGAATCTGAATTCTCTCCTTCCTTCCTTCCTTCCTTTCTAAGTTTTTTGTTTCTGTTTTTGTTTGTTGGTTTTGTTTTGCTACAGGGCATGTGCGCTCACCAGAGAGAGAAGGGGAACAGGGTGAGAAATCACCCTCCAGGGAACTGGCCATGCCACCATCCCTTCTCTTCCAGTCTCCTCTTGGGATTTCGGGTACACACGCACATGCGCCCAGTGTGATTTTCAGGCTGCCAGGCCTGGGATTCGAATCATGTAGCTGACCATGTGGGATCCAGCACCTTAAACTGCATGCCATCTACTGGCCCTCTTTCTCTCCTTTTTTTAAAAAATAATTATCTTATTTATTTAATTTTATTTATTATGATTATCTTTACATAATAATAATTTGACCAAAGAGAGAGAGAAAGGAAAAGTGAGAAAACAAGCTACCGGGTCTGGGATGTGAACCACAGTCATGCATGCTGGCCCTCTTTTAAGATTTTTTGTTAGAGGGTACGTATGCTCACCAGGGAGAGGCAGAGGAAGAGAGAGAAAGAGAGAAAGCATCCCTGCAGGGATGGCCACTCTGTAATCCCTTCTTCACTCTCCTCTTGGGATTTTGGGCATGCGCACACATGCACCCAGCATGTTTTTCAAGCCACCAGGTCTGGGACTCAAACCACACAGTCGGCCATGTGGGATCCAGCTGCCTTACCCACCACACCACTGTCTGCCCGCATTTCTTCTTCTTTCAAATAAAACAGGCCAAGACTTGCACTGGCTTGTGTGAGAGAGAAAAAACAAGGGGAGAAAACAACGGTGTGGAGCAACGGCTTTCCTCTGTTTTACAGCGAACCACAGAAATACCTTCTAAAGGACTTTTTTTGTCTTAATTGCCAGAGATGTGTTCACTGCCACAGAGAGAGGGGGAGAGGGAGAAGGCACTCCCCGGTGGGTGTGGCCGCACCGCCATCTCTCCTCCACCCTGTGGGGCGTCGGGCACACGCGCGCGCGCGCGCACACACACACACACACACACACACACACACACACACACACACTCAGTCCAGCATGTCCTTCAAGCCACTGGGGGGGGATTCTAACCGTGGTCAGCCGTGTGGGATCTGGCTCCCTTCACCACGAGGCTACAGGGCTGGCTCGGAAGTGCCCCTCACCTCGCGGCCCAGCATGTGTGCGTGCGTGTGCTGAATGGGAAGCGGTTTTCTCACAATACCTACCCTTAGCGTCTGCAGTGCTCTGTGGCCTTTCTTCTGTCATTTTCCTCCAAATCCTGATCATGATCCATTAAGACAATTTCAAAACCCACTAGTGGGGAATGACCTAAGCAGGAAAAACCTTGGTTTAGAGCAGTGTTTCTCAACTTAAATTTTTTTTTCTTTTTTTTTTGTGAGAGGGTGCCTGTGCTTGCCAGAGAGTGAAAGGTAGTCAGAAATCGTCCCTCTAGGGGGATGGCCATGCCACAATCCCTTCTCTCTCTCTCCCTTCTGTCGGGATTTTGGGCATGCATGCACATGCCCCATGACCCTTGCAGCCCACTGGGTCCGAGACTTGAACAGCACAGTCGGCCACGTGGGATCCAGCACCCTAACTACTATGCCTCTCTCACTCTCTGTCTCCCTCTCTCTCTCTTTTTAAAAGATTTTTTGCCATAGGGCTCATGTGTTAGTGGGAGACAGAGAGGGGAAGTTAGAAAGCACCCGCCAGCCGGGATGGCCATGCTGCAATTTCTTCTCCTCCTGGGATTTTTGGCACACAAGCGCAAGGTGCCTGGTGTGATTTTCAAGGCAACAGGTCTGGGATTTGAACCGCAGTCAGCCATATGTGAGTCTACTGTGGTAACCACTATGCCACCTGCTGGCCCCTTTTTTAAAAAAAAGTATAGTTTTTGGGACCAGCAGTTGTTGTAATGGCTATGTTGCTGAACTCCCATGTAGTCGACCGTGGTTCGAGTCCCGGACCCGGTGGCTTAAACTCACACCAGGCGTGTGGGCGTGCGTGCCCTAGATCCTGAGGGGAGAATGGAGGAGAAGGGACTGCGGTGTGGGCATCCCCCCGGGGGGTGATTTCTCGCTTTCTGTCTCTCTTGCTCTGTCTCTCTGGCAAGCACATGCACCCTATAGCATAAACCTCTCAAAAAAAAAAAAATTATAGTTACCACTCCCCTCAGGAGACTCCTCCCCTCCTTTTAAAGTTTATTCATTCATTTCCTGCCATGAGAGAGGGAGAGATACCCCAACAGGGTGTTCATGCTGTGACCCTCTCATCTCAGCCAGGTTACAGGCGCATGTGTGCATGCCCGGCATACTCAGGGAGACCCAGGGACAGGAACCCCGGATGCTTCCTGTGTGGCTCCAACTTCCTGCCTCTGTGCCACCACCTGGCTCCACCTAGGAGCCTTGTTAGGCTCTATTCCTCCCCACCCCGTCGCTGTCCATCATAAAACTGTGTGTGTTCAGGTGGAGGAGTGCTTTTACACACATATTACAAAGAATACATATTTTCTCCCTTAGCAACCAAACTTGCCTTCTTTTTTCCAAGACACAGTTTTGCTGTGTTGTCATCTTTCCTACTTCACCTTCCAAGCAGCTGCTGCTGGACCCCAAGAACCAATTTTTGCCCCCTTGGGGGCGACATTACCCCAGTTGAGAATGTCTGAGAGCCATCACACCCACACTCTCGCTCTGAGCTGCCTTCACACACACCGTCGGACATCCGATGGGAGAGTAGTATTCCCATTTTGCAGGTGAATATGTCAAGACTGGAAGATTATATTAATGATCAAAGCTTGAAATGACTGGTCATTAGATTCGGTACGGAGAAACTGCTCAAGAACCTAGCTTGGTCTCTCACCTTTTCCAAACCGTTGTTTCCCCATGTGGACGAGGGTGGAATCAGTGCATACAAGTGCCCCCAGCCTCTGTTATCATATCTATTTGCCTTATTTGACTTAATCACAGCAAACATTGATGTAGCGATTTGGGTGTCGCACAGCAGCTAACTGAAGCCCTGTACACACAGTAACTAGTGTGGCTCTCACAATGAACTAGGAGATACCACCCTCTCCCTGGTATGGACGAGGGAATTGGGACAAGGAGAGGCGGTGTGGTTTGTCCCGGTGGTACAGGCAGTACATGCACAGCTGGGATTTGAACCTGGTAGTCTGATTTCCAGAGTACCGCATCTGGTGGGTTTGTTTGTTTGTTTGCCTAGGCCTCATGTGCTTGCTGGAGAGAGACAGGACAGAGAATGAAAGGGAAAGTGAGAAATTACCCCCAGAGGTATGTGTTTCCCCTCCCCCCTTCATTCTTTTCTCTGGATTTTGGGTATACCCAGGTGCGGCCCATCTGGTGTGTTTTGCAAACAATCTGGACTCTAACAGTGTAATCAGCCATGTGGGATCCAGCACCTTAACCACCTCAACACAGGCTGACCCTGTACCTGCATCTAACCATGTATTTTAAAAGGAAACTTTTTTTTTTTTTTTGGAGAGACTTTTCTGGTGCGCTCTCCAGAAGGACAGAGAGAGAGACAGAGACAGAAAGGGAGAAATCACCCCCTGGGGGGATGGTCACGCTGCAATCCCTTCTCCTCCATTCTCTCCTTGGGGTCTTGGGCACAAATGCACACACGCCCAGCGTGAGTTTAAGCCACTGGGTCCAGGATTCAAACCACGGCAGAATACATGGGAGTCCAGCGACACAGCCTTTATGCCAACTGCTGGTCCCAAAAGGAAACTTTTTATCACTATAGAAAATAAGAAAACAGTATCATCTGTTGTGGATAAAAGGTAACAACAATACATACAATGAAAAAAACATGCTACAATATGTTACAACATCCTGGCTAGATCCTACCCCCAGCCAGGCATTCAGTGCTGGAAGCCTCTTTGTTAAAAAAAGAAAGATAAGATAAGGGTAGATAGAGAAGTGTTAAAGGGCTCCTGGCAGCAAAATGAGACTTTGTCCTGGAGCCATCAGAAGTGTGGAAAGGGAATTGGAAAGAGAATGGCAAGGCGTGTGTGTGTGTGTGTGTGTGTGTGTGTGTGCGTGCTTGCCAAAGTGTGTACACCTGGCATAAACCCAAGATAAGATGGGGTGTCGCGCACACTCCTAACCTGGTCTGTATTGTAGGAGCGTCTGGACCAGGCGGTGGAGGAAGGGAGACCACCGCCCGCTGGCCTGGCCCGGCAGTCTGAATGCTTTGGTCTGCCTGCGGGAGAAGGGGCGGGCTGGGCGGGTGCAGCTGCCCGAGGGCCCACTGGCTCCTGGACTTCTGCCACCGCTTCCCCTCCCCTAGCCGGCTCTACAGGTGAGACTCAGCCCCCCACACACTTCTCCCCTACCCCGGTCCTCACAGACAGACCACACAGTTTCCCTGCACCTAGACTTTACCTTTGCTCCTTCCAAACGCTGTGCAGCCGGGCCTCGTTCCCGTGCGGGGCTGTGGGCCCGCGGAGGCGCGCAGGGGTGAGGTGCATAGGGTGATACCGTCTGAGGCTGTAAGTAAACAATAAGCGGCCCTCTGGTCGCTGTCCCATGTGATACCCAGGGAAGGGTTCCCCCCCCCCCCCCCGCGCCTGGGGGGAGTCCCGGGC